AAGAATAATTACACATAGCTGGAGAATAAAGGCAGATGTACTGTATGATTTGTCTTGGAAACACGATTGAGTTTGGACCAACAGAGATGGGGAAAGGGAAGAAGATAAGCAAAATAATTAATAGGCAGTACTGTAAGATACTTACCTTCAATAAAAAAAAATAACTTAGTTTACCTTGAGGGCACAATGCATAAAAGGCAGATGAAATGACACTGAAAAGCTGATAGAGACAAAGGTTATGATGGTGCCTGTGACCCAGTAATTCCACTCACAGATATCTACTCAAGAAGAATGCACCCATATGTACATCAAAAGTGCAAGAATATTCACTGTTCATATTAGCCAAAAATAGAATGCTCCCCAAGAGATCCTTAATAGATAGTAATAGATAATAATAGATCCTTAATAGTAAATGGTATGTATTTGCACAGTGAAATACTATCTGTACAGTAAAATGAGAATAAACAGATTCCATGCAACAATATAAATGTTTTTCAAATATATAAGTGTTGGACATTAAAGCCAGATACAAGAGTACATATATTATTATTATATTTTTGTGTTTCAGAACCAGAGAAATCTATGGTTTTAGAAATAAAGACAGTGATATTATTCTTGGTAGAGAGGGACTGGAATAGGACACAAGGAGGCTGCCAGGGTGCCCATAATATTTTATATCTTGACTGGGGTACCTGGTATATATAGATGTACTCAGTTTATGAAAATAGTTTCAACTGTACATTTATGATTTGGATATTTTTCTTTGCTAATTTCTATTTTAATTAAATGTAATGGTGATATTTGAAGAATTTATATTCTCTGTTCAGTAAAGAGACATGAAAGTATTTTTTAGCTGAAGAATACACAGTTCTATCAGAGTCAGGAAGATTGAGTCAAATGGTAGCAAGATAAAAGGACTGAAAATGAAAGAAAATTAAGACTGGGGCTTGTGTAGTGGTAATAGGAATACAAAAAAAAAGCAATGGTTGTGATAAAAGTGATAAGGATCAAGTGGACACACTTTGTGCCTAACTGAATAGGATACACCAAGAAAAGGAGAGCATTTCTGAAAAATGAGATTTCAAGAAGGGCTAACAGGCAGTACTACTGACAAACTTGAAAATAAAGACAATAAAGGATTTGGCAAGTGTTAGCAAATGGAGTCACATCTGGTCCGTTGACTGTTTCTGTACAATCCTAGCTAGGGATGGGTTTTCACATTTTTAAATGGTTGAAAATTTTCAAAATCAACATGATCAGAATAATATGTATGATATGGGAAAATTATATGAAATTCAGACTTCAGTGTCCATGTAAAGTTTGATTGGGACACAGCCACGCTCCTGTGTTTGCGCAGGGTCTGTGTGCGGGCTTGTGGGATAGCAGCAGCAGAGCTGGGGAAGGCAATAGGGTGCTGTGGTGTGGTCTGCAAAGATTGCTCTGTCTGAAAAACTCTGCTAACCTTCATTTTAGAACTAAAATTATGAATAATACAAATACTTGAAAATGCCTTCAACTTTTATTGAAGGGAAAAGAATAACCTTAGAATAATGAGGATCACTGTATAGAGTGAAGAACAGTCTCTATAGTGTAACAGTTAGCATTTAACAGCACCTAGGAATTTAAAAAGTGTATTAATACACATTCATTCATCTGATTTCTAAAACAATCTGTGAGGTGAATATCATTGTTTCTAGTTTACAAATGAGGAAATTTAGATTCTAAAAGATTTATGACTATATTTCAGAGAATAATTACACTCAAAAGTAGGTGATAGAGAAATACAATTGAGGAGAATATATATCTTTTGTTATATTGTGGACAGGAGTTCTGTGCTTTGCCAGCATGATGATAGAACAAAAACTCTAGAGCCAGAGTTTCTGGGTTTGCATCCTGTTTCTACCATTTCTTCACGTGACAGTCTTCAGTAAATAATTTAATCTTTTAGCGACTTGGTGTCATAATCCATAAAATTAGAATAATAATGTTCTTACCTCATAGGGCTGCTATGAAGATCAAATTTTAAATACATGTAAGTTGCCTAGCAGAGTGTTTGGCATGTATAAATTTTAGTTATTTTCATTGTCTTGGGGAACAGATTTTAAAATCAGTTGACACACAATATAACCTCAATTGGATGGCATTGATTCAAAGAGCCTTTAATAGCTATTTATATCAGAGATGTATTCTACAGATTTGAGCAGGAGGAGGGACATATAGCTAGCTGGCAAAATTATCAAAGATTCTATTTACCCGATTCGTCTTAAGCTTTGTACCTCAGTTTCTTTGTTTATCCTGCACCAAATAATCCACTAAGAAAATTTTACCCAGAATTCCTAAATATCAAATATTCTCTTAAATTCTATTTTGATATTTTCATAGTGCTTGAAGTTGACTGATGATATGTAGTGAGTTATTCACAGAAGCACGAAAAACCTTCAGTGAAGGTGCCAGTCAGTAATTTAATGCCTATTGTTGTTGTTGTTGTTCCTCTTGTGGAAGGAGTCAGAATTCTCCAAAACTTTCAGTTTTGTAAACCATTGCCCAGCTTTTGGCCCTTTTTTTGGTCAGAAGTAAATATCTGCCAATTGTAATTCACCATGTGAGTTGAGACGTTACTAAAGAAATTGAATGCAACCCATGAGATTCTTGTCCACGGCAGGGTCAGTCTCAATGTTATCCAGTAATCGACTCTGTTCCCTGCATGGCAGATGGATAGCAGTTGCAGTTATTGTGATTTTGTGTCTGGGGAAATGTAGACAGGAGGGTTAAGTGACTTCTTCAAGGTCATATTGGAAATCAGTGACATTCCAAGGAACAGAACTTGGAATACATTTAACCAGATCTCCTCTTGAATAGTTTTAACTTTATCATGAGAATAGTGAGCAATTTTCCATGATATGCCAGTTACACTTCAAAATGATTTCTTAAGCCTAGAGTCATAGATTTATTATCTCTGAGATAAAGTCTGTAAAAAGAAACCCCCACATAAATCAATCTACAACTATTATTATTTTTAATTTTAAATATTTTTGTATGAAGATGGAGAGAATGATAATGACCAGTAGTCATGATGGAGAAAATTGATTTCTCTTTTTGAGCTGGTGTAATGGTTTAGTAGCTTATAACTTTCTTAATGGACTTGTATACTATTCCAGACATAAATGAGCTGTGTCTTCCTTTACATGCTTTGCCGTATGACAGCAGCAATGTAACTGCTGCTCTTTTAACATACCACATAGGCCACATTTCCTGAGAAAAGAAACTATAAACTATTTTCACATCTTGAAGAAGAGTCATCTGTATAACTCATCAATTAAAAATGTAGTCTCATAGCTTAATTCTTCCAAAAGAATAAAATACATAAATAATGAAAAGAAGGCAATTTTAAGTGTTAAATGAGCGAATATACTTTGATTTTTTGATGGAATGGGAGATAACTATCATTTATTGAGCACTCATTATATGTTAAATCCTATGCTAAGAAATTTAAAGGAAACTTCAAATCAGAAAGCTTCATTGTTTATTTTCTTTAATAGGCTAGAACTGAAGCATGGATAATTAATCTTGAGATTTTTACAAATGCCAAGTTATTTTAGACTGTGTGTTAAGCTTTATAATAGATAATAAGTGACATACTTGTTATTGGTTCTTCAATTTTTATTTTTGGTTGGATTTTCCATTGACCATTCTGGTAATTTCTTCCATTTATATATTTAAGCTTTATTGCTGTTGTACACTATTGCTTCAATCAAGTGTGTTTCCAGTATTCTGAACCCTAGTAACCACATTATTGCAAAGCTTTATGAGATGATTTATTTCCCCATGTATAGGTGTTGTAGAAGTTAGCATCTGGAAATACATAGGCATTGTAGGTACCATGTACTCCATGTGACTAATCAAATAACTCCACTTACATGACTTATCCTATCCTTTCTAAATGTTCCTTCCCAGATTTGTGTACTTACTTAGCTATTGGGTAATGTAGATTTCTTTTTTGACAATGTAATTGTGTAGACTGTATCATGAAATTTTAGGGCTTTGATGGAAATTATTGAATCAGTTTTACATCAAAGTTCTTTTTATATTTGACAAAAAGTCATAGGTCCCAGGTGTATGGTTCTGAATATGGTATTTTAGGGGTATAGGTGGTTTTCTACCCATTCAAATTTTAAATTGCTAATGTAAGATGCATGTTTGCATACTGTTCAGAATATGATATATTCAAAGCATGACACTATGCCAAGGCCTTAAGTTTACTGTGCCTGAGAAAATGGCACCTCAAAACTCAGGATGCTAATTAGGGAGGGCTGCCTTAATAAACCCTGCCTTAACATTTCTATTCTTCCCCCCAAATAATTTGTATACAAATACACATCTAAGTATGTTTATATTGCACACCAGACACATTAATTCTTATGATTTTATATATGCACTTGTCTAGATACATATGATTTATGAAAGTATTCTGTATTGTTTACCAGTGTCTATTCAGTGTTTATATACAGATCTATATGTATATACAATATGTATGTATGTCTATATACATACATACATAGGTAGACATGGTCTCATTTCAAGATTTATTTTGTTATACTTCTACATTTTGAAGCATATTATTAGTACAATTAAATAAGGTATTGCTGTCTAACATATGTGAGGCATTACATCAAGTTTGAATTAATGTAAAATTTTAGTATGTTAGAAATTTGAAAAGTCCCACATTTATATTAAGGAGTAGATTTCAGTGTGTCAGATATTAAATTTTACATTGGCATTCTTAAAGTTAACATTGTAGTTCTAAAACAAGCAATTGTAATTCAAGAGATTTTTCATATGAAAATTGAACCTGGAAATTTTTATTTTGTGACTAAAATAACTATGATATGTCTCTATTTTTAAATGAACAAGTTTTATGAACATCCTATAATGACCACTTCTTCCTAAAATCTACTTTGACATAGTGGAATGATTACAAATCTAATTATCACATGTTACAGGCTAAGATGACTCAGTTGCCTGAGGCAGAAAAGGAAAAGATTGCTGAGCAAGTTGCTGACTTCAAGAAAGTAAAGAGTAAGCTGGATGCTGAGATTGAGATATGGGATGATACAAGCAACGATATCATTGTTCTGGCCAAGAAGATGTGCATGATCATGATGGAGATGACAGACTTCACAAGGTAATTATGTGGGAATTGATTTTTCTTATTTCTAACAGTTAGAAACATCTGTCCCATTAGTGAAACCTCAAGTTTCTCTGAGCGGCAAGTGCTAAAAATTAAGTGGTGTAGGAAAAGCAAATATAGAATTAGGAAGTTGTAGGTCCTTTTAGAGTGTTTGGTAAACAAATGTGGCAGAGTTTCTCATAAACTGCTGAGGAATAATTTTAGAGACCACTGTATACCCTTGCCTTCAGGAATCTTCCCTGTGTATCGTATTGGTATTTCTTTTACAAAGAAATTGGTAAATAAAGTTATGATCTGTGTTGATCTCTGTGATCAATATGAATGATTGATTTCCATAGCTACAAACTGAGTTGTCAACTAGATATATTTGAAATAACAATGCATTACTGATATACATAAAGGAATCATACATTGTGTGTGTATTCTAAAAATAATACATGTGTTTCTTACAGCTTCAAAATATCATTTTATAAAGCTAGCCAAAGAGAAGTTTTATATATATATATATATATATATATATAGCACTTGCCTTACCAGTTACTAAAATGTACAAAACCACAACAGTTAATTTAGTCTTGATGTAATTATAAAAGCCACAGAACAAAAGAATACTCTAAAACAGACCTAGTATACTTAGGAAATCATTTGCTTATATCATTATATGTTATACACAAAAATAACATTAAATGGAGTAGTGAAATGTAATTTTAAAATAATAGTAATAAATGGAAAAAATGTACATGAATCGTTCACTCCAATTAAGATTGAGAAAAGCTTTCTAAGCATTATAGACAAAACTCACACAAAAAAATCATTAGATTGAACTACATTAACAATTCTATATATCAATAGAATATGCTAAACAATACTGATATATAAATGGATAATTCGGTAAACACCTATAACAAAAAATAACAAAAATGTGATGCCATTTATATATAAAGAATACTTATAGACATACAAAAAACTTCTTAATGTCCTAGTAGAAGAATGGGCAAAAATTTGAGCAGATAAATCACCAGTTTCTCTCCATAAAAGGTATGATGCATAAATATGTGAAAATATTTAACCTAAAATAGTTAAAATAACATACCTCTTAAATTTATAAAATTGACAAGAACTTTTAAAATCATCTTGGTACAGGGAGAGTATGGTGATGACAGCATATACTCTTATATCCTTGTAGTAAGTTGGCAATTTGTGTAAACAAAAAAACTTTTAAAAACTTTTAATATCTATATTTATATCTGTACATTATATATACAGTTTTGTAAAGTATGTCTTTTAGATACCAGTTTATGATTGCCCCCCTATCTGTTGTCATTTTTTTCTAACCCCATATCATGGCTTCTAAATGTCTTACCATTCCCTTTTATACCCAGAATAATTCAGTTTTATCCTACTGCTTCATCTTTACAAAGATTCTGAGAAACTTCTCACCTTCTCTCTCTCTCTTTTGACACATATATAAGCTAGATATATATAACAAAGACACGAATATGCCTGAGAATAGGAAACAAACTATACTACAGTGATATTAAATAGTGATTATGTTTTAGTAGTTTGGTGGAATGTGAATTAATTACTTTCACTTTTAATTTTCTGTTATTAATTTTCTGTGATAAATATACATTTATTTTTAAAAATTAATAATTTTTCACATTAGTCCTCAGAAAGTGGATGTTGATTAAAGTTAAATCACTTCATGCAAACTTCCCAAAAGTTAAGACTGAGAAGGGCCACAAATAAAACCTTAATGATGTCAGCTTTCAACATTATTAAGGTACAGAAAATTGTGTGCATTTCAAAGTACCTTTAAGTAGGGAAATAAATATGAAATACCAACAGAGCTACTGCTGGTACTCTGTCACTGACATAAACCTATGAATCTGGAGATCAGGGATTGAGAAAATTAAAAACACCCAATGGAGATGGGAGGAATGTGAAAAGGTAATAGACAAAGCACACACACATACAAAAAACTGGACCAAAATGAGAATACCTGACACTAAGTGCTAAAATGCTGAACACAGTTCTGAGACTTGGCATTTACAACACCAGCTATAGAGATTGAGCTTAAAAGTGATTGGGTCTGGAATGGGAAATGGAGAGAATCTTTGCTTTTGAGAAATAAGGAAATACAAGATAGGTGACATTGGAGGTACATCAGTGATTGAAAAAGACATAAATAAGAAATGAAAAGGAACCTACAGAAATGAAAGGGAAACGCCATATATGTCAATCTCTCCCCTTCCCACCGTCACTAAAAATGTCATCCATTTCGGAAAGTATACTTCATAGTAAAAATTAAGGAGAGTGTTCTTGGTCTCAGAGCCCTGCCTAAAAAGAAAAGGATGCAGACCGGTGACATGCAAAGCTTCTGTAATAAGATACAGAAAATGGGTGCACTTCTGGGTGCAAAGGAATATGCAAAGGAAAATAAATAACTACCTTTAGGAGATACCTGTATTCCCATTTCACTGCAGCATTAGTCACAATAGCCAAGATATGGAAGTAACTTCAGTGTTCATCAGTGGATGAATGCATAAAGAAAATGTGATCTATAGAAATTGAATTTATATATATAATAAATATAAATAATTTATACAAATATGAGCTTTTAAGCCATAAGAAAGGAAACCCTGCCCCTGCCATTTGTGACAGGTGGATTATTCTGGAGGGCATTATGCTAAGTGAAATAAGCCAGACAGAGAAAGACTAATACTGGATGATACTACTTACATGTAGTATCTTAAAAAAAAAAAAAAGTCAAACTCATAGAAACAGAGTTGTATGGTGGGAGTTGGTGATAGGAGAAATGCGGAAATGTTGGCCAATGATTACAAACTTTCAGTTATAAGTTGAATGAATTCTGAGGATCTAATATACATCATCTTAATTATAGCTATTAATAGTGTATTGTATACTTGAAATTTGCTCAGAAAATCTAAAGAGTTCTCATTCAAAAATAGGTAACTATGTGAGGTGTTGGATGTGTTAACTTAATCGTGGTAATCATTTCATGGTGTATACATATATCAGATTATCACATTGTACACAATAAGTATATTACAATTATGTCTATCATGTCTCAAAGCTGAAAACAAGTGATAATCAAAGCAATTCAGTTAAGGAAAGCCTTTCATCTAGAAAAAAATACAAAACAAAAATAAAACTGTAATGTAACACTCTAAACTAAAATGACTTTGAAAAATGTGTTGAAGATATATATTTTTAAAACCTAGACTCAGAAAACCAAAAACTAAGTTAAATTAAAAAAAAAAAAAAAAGAAATGAGGAATGCAGAGGGGAACTAGAGATGAGATCTTTGGAAAAGCCTGGGGCTGTGCCTCTAAAAAGGAAGCTAGAAATGTTTCCATGCACCAACTTAAAGGGGCATCAAGAGAAAAGTATTTTCCTTGGAGTCTGGGCCAAATGAAAGTCTTTAAGAAACATGACCTCAAGTCTGTGACCTCTTTGACAGATGAATTTCAAATCACATACTCAGAAAATGCTACCTTTAAAGAAGAATTAAGATGCAAGAAGCAATGGTGAGCAAGGAAATCAGAAAACATGTGGTATATTCAGCTAAGCTTTGGCAGAACAACAAGAACGACAACAACCAAAAAGAATATTCAAAGTAAAAACATCACACAGAAAAAATTTAATTGTTGGTGATCAGAGTTAAAATGGCCTATTTTTATATTCAGGGAGAATTTAGAAGTATTAATACTATACCTTGTTACATAAAGAATACATATGATGCCCTTTAAAATTTCCAAGGGATCCCTAAAATAAAATTTTCATATCAGTAGATGAAATTAATGTCAAAGTGTTAGAAGTTAGAGAATGAGAAAAGAGAATAAAATGTGGCATGAATATAAAAAATGCAATGATTTTATAAAATATGCTAGGTGTATCAGTATTTCTAATACATACATGTAGCAAGTTTAATAGTTAAAAAATGTAAGTACAAAAATGCTGTAAATACAAGTGACAGAAAGTATCTCTCATTTAACAGAGGCATCTAGGAATCTTTTTTCTGGGAACATGGGAAAAAGGAGGAAATGCTTCTTGATAAAAGAGGAAGGAATGTATAAATAAATGGAGAGAATTTGAGGAAATAAATGCCTAACGACTTGTACTTGCTAAGTGATGTCAACCATGGAATAGGCGAAGCCTTGAAAAGACAAAAGTGGAGTGAGAGCTTGGGCAGCAGAACAGAAGCTGCTATAGGAATATAAGGGCAGTCAGCCTGCAAGATTATTCATTCTGTCATTTATTTATGGCTTGTCACCCAGTCCAAAACCTAATACATTTATCAGTAGCAAAAGGGTTAGAGTCTCTTCACATATTCTAAGAGAGCTAGTGAATTAGATTTACCTAAAGTCCTAGAAGGTAAAGGAACTTGCAGCAGAAATCAAGGGGGTGAGAGAATTGAAACTACTAGAAAAGATATATTGAAGTGACTGACTGGGCCCAGTCGGGGACAGAAGGAAAATAAGATTGGGAAGTAGAACAAAAGGTGGAAAGGTAAGGATATGTCACCAACAGCTGATGGAGATAGAGACTTCAGTGCAGTTTTTCCTGCTCTACATCTGTCTCCCTCCCAAAGGAACTCATGTTTTACTGTTAACGTGCTTTGAATCAAGTTGGAAAAGGATGCTGAAATATGACTTTGGAAGGGATGCTCTGTGACTCTGAGGATGTCATAGTCTGTAACAAGGGTGTTAGAAGAAGATTCACAACTCCGCAGAGTGATAACTCATTGGTAAATAGACATGTTACATGTTTTGCAAAAGCTAAGGAGTCCAACAGTCTCACAATCTATAGGTGTCACTGCAAAAGCCATCCATGGAACAAGAATATTGTGTATTGAAATCGTAGTAAAGGCAGGGGAGCAAAATTGAATTTCAGGTTCTGACAATCTTTTGCACTTGAACTGCATCCACATTCAGTTTAATTTTAGTTCGTAAAAACTGTGAAAAATCTCC